CCTCCCCAAACCCACCTTCTGGGCTGAGCCAGGTGCTGTGATCCCGCAAGGGAGCCCCGTGACCATCTGGTGTCAGGGGATCCCAGGGGCTGAGGAGTACCATCTGGAGAAAGAGGGAAGCCCAGCACCAGGGAAACTACAGAAGCCACTGGAGCCTGGGGACAAGGCCAAGTTCACCATCTCACACATGACAGAGCGTGATGCAGGGATATATCGCTGTTACTATCGCAGCCCTGCTGGCTGGTCAGAGCGCAGTGACCCCCTGGAGGTGGTGGTGACAGGTGAGAGGACACTCAGGGGTCCCAACCTCAGGTTGTGCCCTCAGGAAGGGGGTCTGCTCTCAGGGTGTCTCCCTCTCACAGCCCAGCCCTGGGGGCCATGAGGGAGATGTGAGCCCCATTTAACACGCTGCCCCCTCCTCTCCTAGGAGCCTACAGCAAACCCAGCCTCTCAGCCCTGCCCAGCCCTGTCGTGACCTCAGGAGGGAACGTGACCCTCCAGTGTGGCTCAAGGGAGAGATTTGGCAGGTTCCTTCTGATTAAGGAAGGAGATCACAGGCTCTCCTGGACCCTGGACTCACAGCCACAGCCCAGTGGTCAGTCCCAGGCCTTGTTCTCTGTGGGCCCTGTGACTGCCAGCCACGGGTGGACATTCAGATGTTATGGCTGTTCCAGATACAGCCCCCAGATATGCTCACTATTTAGTGACTCCCTGGAGCTCCTGGTCCCAGGTGAGTTTCATTATTGTACCATCCATGGATTTAGGCACCAGATACATTATTGACATCTTTGCTGGGAGGGGAACCCCATCTGAGATGGTGAGGGGAGCACAGGGACCCATGGATCAGATACAAGAGAGAGTCAGTGAGACCCAGGGACCAGGTCAGGAGAAGGGGATTATGGGAGGAGCAGCCCCTGTTATTCATGTCTGGTCTCTGCAGGTGAGTCTGAGAAGCCCTCCCTCCTGAGCCAGCAGGGCCCCATCGTGGCCTCTGGACAGAGCCTGACCCTCCAGTGTCGCTCTGATGTCGGCTATGACAGATTCGCTCTGCACAAGGAGGGGGGACGGGACCTCACCCAGAACCATGTCCTGAAGCCTCAGGCTCGGCTCACTCAGGCCCACTTCCCCCTGGACACTGTGCGCAGCTCCCACGGAGGCCGGTACAGATGCTACGGTGGATACAAGCTCTCCTCTGAGTGGTCGGCCCCCAGTGACCCCCCGGCCAC